TATTGAATGATAAATTAATATATCAAATATTAAATTGTTCTCTATAAAGCTGAAGCTTCAATTTCCAGAACTAAAAATCAAAATTCAAAGCTAGAAACACTTTGTAAAAAGTTGTAAGTCTCGAAGGTGCCACATTATGATGGTTCCATTCATACTTGAGAAGTAAAAAGCATCAAAATTGGAATGGAGGATGAAAGTGTCACATGTTAGATATATTAGGGAGCAAAAGAAAGAGAATCACCTAAAAAAGTGTAGGCCCAAAGATCATACGACGCCGTTACAAACCTAGAATGTCGGCCCAAAAGGTTTCGTGGTCGAACTGTTGCCACCGCATCGTTTCCAATTTATGTTACCAAATAAAATAAAATTCCGAAAATCCCGAAAACATACGGAGAAGTTGTCCGTGGCCGTGGGAGGAGCTGCCCCCACCGAGAAAGATAGGACGATCTCTTCCTTGCCGCCGCAATCACCGTTTCCGATCGATTCCCCGCTTTAGAAAAAGGTAATCTTTCATTGCATCTTCCCTCCTCCGAAACTTGTTTGCATGCGTTCTTGACTTTATGCTGGAAATCTCTGTTTGGATTGTTAATTGTTGGGAATGTTAGAAAAGATGACTGATATTTGGATTTCATGCAACAATCAAGCTTAACGATATGGATAAGCACTGGGTTTCAATGATGGAATTTTTTTTTTTCTCTAATGCATCTTAGGGATTTTCTTTAGGTTTAGTTTGTTGATTCTTTGTAAACTATTTACTTGTTATTGTATTCTTTTTGGGGGCCGTTTTACGTGTTATTGTATGATTGAGTGCTATCCTGGAAATGGATTTTTATTGAATTGATAAGTGATTGGGACTTGGGAGAATAATGATTTTTGATGGAGTGGTTTTTGGGTTGATTAGAAATGTTAAGTTCACTGTAAAATTTCAATGAATTCATGGATGTGTTAAACAGAATTTGAGTTTATTATTATCTTCTCTCTTTGTTCTTTAGATTGCATTAAGTTTTGAGATGAGATTCTAATTCTAGCAGTTAATTTTCCACCATTGGTTTTATTTCTTCCCATTAAAGATTCCGATGATGACTGCAAGTGCTGTTGTGCCTCCGTCACTGTCGATTCCAGGTACATCACGTTGCACTGGCTTAATTCTTATATGGTCCAATATTTATTGCTTCGTGATATTTTTATTCATTCTTAAAAAAGGTGGTGTCTTTTGGGATAAGTGCTTAGACAACCTTAATGAGAAGCTTTTCTTTGATTTATATGTTCAATGTTCTGTGAGGTTTTTTTGATGTGGCCTTGAAACTTAGAAAATGGATTGGCCTTTTACTTAATTTAGTGAGGTACCTCTTATTGAATTAGGTATAAGTAAATGAATTGAACCAACCTAAAGTTGATTTTATACATGTTCAATTGACCTAACAGTTATCCATTTCTGTTCCATTATTTAGTTTTCCATGCTTTCAAGTTTGAACAGCCTTTAGGATGAAGGCCAAAGGAAAAAACAAAGCAGCCTTTAGGATAAATTCAATGTAGATACTGTGGTAACTAAATTGCATTTGATTCTAATTGATGATATTTTCATATCCATTGGTTTTTTTTTTTTTTTCCCATACTGTTGTTTTATTATATATATGTCTGGCGCAGTTAAAACAAGAGGTCTGATCAAGTGGCAAACCAAGCATACTTGTTGTAATCCAGCAAGTCTTCCCATGCGATTGCAGCCTTTCAGTGCAGGTGGGATTCAAGGGAAGGTTTGTCTTTCTCATCCAGTAGGTCTTGGTTTGCAGTTGCAACCTATTAGCAGAAGTTGTG